AGATAAAGCATTCTCCAGGCTTTTCTCTGGTGCTGCTGTGCTCCTGAGACATCGGGAGAGTTATCAGTGAGTCCAGGCAGGGTGAGCTCAGGAGATGGAGCTGTCAGACACCGGTGTGAGGGCTGCAGGCTCAGCTTCCCTTCCCTGGGGCGCAGCAAACTGAACACTCCCCTCTTCTCCCTGGCTGGTTTATAAAATTACAATTGCCACAGCAGTGGGAGTTGCTTTGCTGCCAGAGTTTGATCTTTGCAGTGTTGCAGAGGTGAGGGCATTAAAGAGCTGCCCCTTTCCTTCCAGAAAGTTCTGAGCGTGCCAGTCTGGCTTTTGAAGCGTGATCATGGAGAGGATGTGCATGTTCTTACCTGCTCTGCAGGAGAAAATGGAAATAAGGCTTGGGATTCTTGAAGGGTCTCTTCCTAGAGCCAGGTGTTAATTCAGGTTGCTTCAGGTCACTCCTGGCACAGGTGATATGGCTGCTCCTGAGGAAGTGACAAGGACAAACAGACACACAGAGAAACCACAGCAGCAAAACAACCCAAATGTTTGGCTTTCTCCTTAATCTGTTTGAAGCAAAGTAAAAATTCTCCAGAGGAGAAATGCATTTTGATTTAAGTGAAATGTACATCTGTAAGTCTGTAATTTGCAAACATAGCTGTTTAGCCTGACTGCAAAAGCCTAAATCAGAGAAACTGCTTCAGGGAAAGACAGAAATAAAAAAAGAAACAAGAAGTGATGAAAAGAAACAGAAAGACTGCTGTGAGAGCAGGTCAACCTGACCTAAGAATTCTTTCTGGTAAAGAAGAACTAGAAAAAAATGTCATGCAAAATTCGTAAAAATGAATGTGTGTGAACCTATTGTGAAATTGTATGCATATGGATTTGAGAAGAAGATAAAAAAACCCCTAAAATTCCTTCCCAGAAGTACACATGTCTTTTAAGGAGAGCAATCTCCACATGCATCCAGCACTGTAATAAACTTTCACAAAGTTGTAGAATTTTTAGTTTTCTCTGCAAAACATGTTCCAGTTGTGGTGTTTCCAAAGGCTGGATGGTTACCTACAGAGATACCCTGTGGTGCTCAGGCTGGGCAGAACAATGTTCTGCAGTGCTTTATTTGTACCTGCTTAACACCACCAAGTTTCCCTTTCTCGTGTGCAGCAGAGAGAGGGATGGGATACAGGAATTCTGTGTCTCATCCCTGCCTGAGCAGCATTTCCCTGAGATTCAGCTCTCACACAGCTCCATCCCTGCTCCAGGCCAGGCTCAGCTCGTTTTCTGCTGCTCAGGGGATGTTTGAGCAGTGCTGAGAGCACACACTGTGCACAGCCACGGGAACTGCAGCTCCTGACTCACCTGGGCACTGGGTTCAGCTCAGGATTCATTTCACTCACTGGCCTCAGTCCTGCTCTCGAGCAGCTGAGAAATAATTTAGGTCTTGTGTTCCCTGTGGAGATGGACCCAGGGGTGTGAGCCTTGCCCATGAGGCTCTCTGGATCTCATCCCTCTGTCCTTTGTGACTTAGGTTTAAGAGGCTTTGTAAATTCTCTTTCTGAGTAATTATTCTTTTTTTGTTGTTGTTTTTGTTTGTTTGTTTGTTTTTTTTGCCTTGTGTGATCTTGGAACAGAGCTCTGTGGGGAACAATGGAAGGAGCTGGGGTTGTTTAGCCTGGAGAAGAGGAGGCTCAGGGGTGACCTTATTGCTGTCTACACCTTCCTGAAGGGAGGCTGCAGACAGGTGGGGTCAGTCTCTGACAGAACCAGAGGACACAGCCTCAAGCTACGTCAGGGAAGGCAGAGGTTGGATATTAGGAAGAAATTTTTCACCAAAAGAATAATAAAGCACTGGAGTGCTCTTCCCAGGGAGGTGGTACAATCACCATCTCCGGCCATGGCACTTGGTGCTATGGTCTGGTTGAGGTGTTGGGGCACAGGTTGGACTGGATGATCTCAGAGGTCTCTTCCAACCTCGTTATTCTGTGATTCTGTGATCTGCAGATGTAATGGCAGGAGCTAGTCAGGCTGTTCTAGTTAGACTCTACCCACACCCCCAGCTGGTTATGGCAGTGCTCCCCTTTACAGGAAAATTAAATTCAGGCTGACAGATTTATTTTTCCTAAAGATGGGCAGCTCTTCCTGCAGCTTATCATTTCCCTTGGCCTCTGCTGAGCAGTGTTCAGCTGCAGAAGCAGAGTTGCCATCCTCCTGTCCTGCTTACCCCCCAAAAATGCTATTTTGGGCCTGTAGGGAGGATCAGGGTGGGGACTTGGATGTCCTAGACCATCTCTGACCCCATTTTTCTGAATTTGTGTCCCCTAGGGCTGTAAGAAATTAATTATGTTGCTTAAGGTTTGTATTTGGTGACAGGATTTTGAGCTTTTTGTCTCTCTTCTTATTTTTGTTCAGAGTTGAAGCCTCGTTATTGAAGCTTTGATCAAACATCAAGTATTGCCATTATGAAAATGTGAGAGAATCTCACAGCTTATTTGAGGGAAATAAAGGCAGCTTTTTGTCAATTTCTGCTGTTCAAGAAGTAATGGGAGTTGCTGTTAGTAAATTATTAAATTTTTTGCCTTACAATAAAGGAAATGAGATGCTATTGCTTTGCCCAGTCCAAAAGGCAGCTTTTTGAGAGCCACATTAATTTCTGTCCTGCCATCAATACAAATAACAAATACTGTAAACCTCTTATTTTTTATTTTTTACTGCTATGAATTCCTCCCTCTTTCATCTCAGTTTTTGGACACTCTTGAAAGACACTGAGAGCTGGTGTTTTAAAGCTTTTAAAGGTTTTGTGCTCTTATTTTATGATAACTTGGAAGCAGAACAAAATTTTCAGTCTCCTGTTTCTAAACCCTTGCTGCTTTTCTCCTGTGTTTTGAAATTGTTTGACCCTTTGGCAGCAAGGCCCCTTTTTAGCTGGACTTTGTCAGTATTGTCAGTGTTACCTGTGGCACAGGCACTCACTCTCTGTGTCCAGTGTTTCATGCCAACCTTGAAAATCCTCCAGTACTTTTCCTTTCCCAAAAAAACCCCAGTGATACTCTGGACTGTGAACCAGAGCATCCTAGAAAGAGAAATGAGGGCAGGGTTTCAATCTGGAACTGGGAGTGTGAAAAACGCCAATCACTTGTTTTTAAAATTTTAAAAAGTTTAATAGTAATAAAATGGTTATAAAAATAGTAATACAATTAGAGTAATGATAATTTGGACAATTTGGATTAGGACAATATGAGACAATAAATACAAAGAGTTATGGACATCCAGGTGCCTTTTTCTGGGCAGCATAAGCCTGAAAATGGACACCCATTAACAGAGGATTGACCCTTAAAAGCAACAGCCTGTTGCATATTCACACACCTCATACATGATGCATAAATTCCATTCAAACACAGGATTCTGTCTGGTCAGTGTCAGCTTCTTCCTCTTAATCCTGACGGTGTCTTTGAGGTGGGAAGAAGTTCATTTCTTCTGATAATGGAGCAATAAATTCTCTTTCTCTGAAAGATTCAGGTGTCCTGTGACTGATATCTCAGTGCGAGTCCTTTCTTTAAAAAAAGTATCCTACATAGCATAGTTTCTATTTTAACATTTTTTATAACCTAAAACTATATTTAACACACTACTTAAGAGAATTAATACAGCATTACTTTCTAACACAACACATATAATATTCATTTTAATATTTGCAAAAAGCCAATCATAACATACATGCATTTTTCACTGGAGTGAGCTGATTTCTGGTGGCAAAGACAGGTTGGTGCTAGATTTTGTGTATTTATGGGATCTGTGCTTTTTTAGACTGGTGCCTGTCATTCTAATCCTGGTCAGCAGTCTATGGCAGGTTATAATCCATCTATAACAGATTATAGTCCATCTATAACAGGTTATAATCCATCCTGGTTCACGTATTGATTGATCAAAGAGAATTGTATAATTTTGGTGGCATGGAAATCTTTTTGTTGAAGGAAAATTATTTCAAGTCTTAGTCTGGAAAGTTGATATTTTCAGAGGTTTTTGGGTTTTTTCTCCCTTGAGGAGAGCAGTTTGAATGCTTTAGGCATTGCAGTGCCCAAGGCAGCAGTGGTTATGGCCTGTGTTAACTTGCAGGATCAAATACTAAAGGTCACTGATGTTGTGATCCAGATTTTTTTTCCAGTTTTCTCAGCTCTGGGAGATCTTAAATATGTGTTTTGTGTGCATCTGCCAGGAGGATGAGGCCAGGGACCCTTTCCAGCCGAATTCAGTAATGGAAAGAGCTGAACCTTGCTGCAAAACAGTGATGAAGAAAACAAATATTAGGGGAAAACACCTCATGCTTTCCAAGATTTTAGCCAGATTTTTGTCTTTAATTGATAGGGAGCAGCCAGGCTCTGTGAACAACTGGTAGGAGAAATGAACTTTGTATTTATATTACTATTTTGTATTTACTAATTTCTGAAGCTAAAAGTTGCTAGAAGCATGAAGTGTTTGCTGTGTGTGTTTTATGCAGCACCACTGAAGCTGTGCATGAACACTAATTAATTTTGGGTAGGAACTTGTGAGATTTTGCTCTCCTTGAGGGTGGAGAGGCCTCTGTTCCTGGGTAAATCCCTTTCCAAAGTTGTGTACAGGGTCTTTTGGGGACAGCACCATGAAGGACTGTACTGAACAAACTGTATTTCCTGTGAACTGAAGTATTTCCTATTACTTTTTGTGGCTTTCAAGCTCCTGGAGTTGCAGAAGGTCTGATAAAGATGTTTTGTGCTTACTGTGGAGGACAGGGCAGAGGGAAGATTAATAATGCAGGAGGGACAGGGCCAGGGCACCCCCATCAATCCTGCACAATTTCTCTGCTGCCTGGTTTATTTTTAATCCTGTTTATAGAAGTCATCTTCACTTTATTTTGCAGCTTCCTTTTTTTCCCCCTATGAAAAAGATGTGTGTGTTTTGCCCCTGTGAGAGAGTTTCCTGATAGTTTGTTTTTTATTTTTTTTCTTCTAACTTATATGGTCTACAGCTTTGAAGAGGATTCCAGTCTTGTGACCCACAGCAGTCCTTCTCCTGAAGAAAATCCAGTTTTCTGTGCCGCCACCCCCACCAAAAACCATGGAGAAGTTTGTGTCAGAAAAGCCTGTTCCTGTCTCTAAGGTACTCACAGCTCTTTGGGGAATACTTGTTTCTTAATCAGGCTAAGCAATATTTCTTATCAAGACAATTAATTTATTTACCTCTATATGTGTGTGTGTAAAAAATATTGCCTCGATTATCTGCTTTGTTCCTTACTTGTTATATCTAAAGGCTGGCTTTCCAAAATGTTGTTTCAGAATCATAAAATGTGTTGAAATAACTGAAGCAGAGCCCAAGAGAGCTCTGGAAAGTTCTGGATTTCCCCACCCCATTCAAGGGATTAATAAATAAAAAAAAAACATAAAATAAACTGAAGGGATTAATGCTGAGAGTACTGGAGTGAAAGTGCAGGCTGAACAAGGGGAGAAGTTTCCATTTTTATATTTTTTTCCATTTTTCTCTTTGGCTGGAGAATTTTCCAGGGAAGGGCCAAGCCCAGGAGGTTTCAGGGCCAGGTTGGACGGGGCTCTGAGCTGGCGGAAGGAGTTGCTTGAAACCTTTCTGTGAGAGTTCTCTGTGACCACTCAGCCATGCAGAGCCCTCTGGCACAGATTTCTAATGAGTCACCAGGCAGTCTCCCTGTGTTCCAGTCTGCTTGGAGTGGGGAGGTTTTATTTTTTATTTCAGAGAGCTTTTGGTGTGGGAGGGGAGTCTCCCATGAGAACAGCCCTGGGTTTTCTGTGTCTGTGCAGGCTGGTTACAGTGAGCCATGTGTGTTTAAATTATCTTTGTGCAGAGCACTGTGGTGAGCCTTTGCTCCCAGACTTGCAGTGCAGGTTCTGGTGTTGGTGATAAGAATTTGGCAAATCAAGGTGATGCTGGAACACTTCCCATCCTCACAGCACCATGGAAACAACCACTCCTTTTTTTTTTTTTTTTCTTCTTTTTTCTTCCCCTTTTTTTCTTCCTTCTCCCTCCCCCAAGAATGGAATCCCTACTCTTCCTTCCCAGAAGAAGCCAGATACCAGCTCATGCCCTCATGCACCTGCCAAGTGTTTTCTCTCTGGTGGGGTGGACACTGAGAACTGCAAGGGCAGTGAGAAGGAGAGGCAGTGGATCCGCCCTGACACACCCAGCAAATGCACCTGGAAGCTCGGGAAGCCCCTCTCTGCCTCCCCCCATCATCATGCCACCCTGTGAGTGTTGCCTCATTTGCTGATTTTCAGCACAAACCCAGCTCTGATTAATCCATGTTTTCGATCAAGGACTTGATGTTTTGAGTTTGTGTCCCGTGGATATTCCTTTGAGCTAAAATAGCTAAAATAACCAGCCTGATAAAGGATGTGGGGGTACCAGTTGTGGGTTTCTCTGGGTCTGGATTGAAGGCACTTGAGACAGTAATTCATGTTCACACTCAGGTGTTTATTATTTCTTATCAGTAAAACAGTCTCACTACTGTGAGTTCTGCAGCTTTTCATTAGAAGGCACAAAATGGCCAACAATCTCTTGGTACAAGGGCTTTTAGGACTAAACTATCCAAGGAAGAACTGACACCTGGATTATTTTCCCTTTTAACCCAATAAGTGATCCCAAAGAGCTGCAATGGGGACTTTTCTGCCCAATTACAAAATGCCACCCAAACCCATGGAGAAGAAGGAAGAAGCAGCATGAAGAGGAAACCCAAGACGACACCCTGTGCCCTCCATCTTGCTTCCGTCCACAACATACTAAAAACCCCAAACCCTCAATTTCTCACCAAGTGATACACCTACACTGCTCTCTATAATCTATTTCACATTTTTGTGGATTCTAGGAAAACTAGAATTCTAGTCCAGGAAACTTTCTCCATGGATGAGGATCAGAGTCAGTGCTGCCCTGGGGGTCAGGGCACCCCAGAGCAGACAGAGAAATATTCCCTGTGCCCTGGGTTTCCACAAAAGGAGAAATAAAAAGCAATAAATGCTGTGTGGTTGTTGTGTGACCCTCCTGTGACTACATTGACTTTGTTTGTGTTTGTGCCAGGCCAGAGCCTCCGAAGATCCTGCCCAGCATCCTGAATAAAGTTGGCAACACACCTTTGGTGCGGATCAACAAGATTGGGAAGCACTTTGGGCTCAAGTGTGAACTCTGTGAGTTGCTGCAGGCAGAGAATAAATTACAAACACTGGTTCAGAAACTTGGGAAGCTTGGGTTAGTAGTGTCATATAACCTGGCCACAGGAGTGCGGGTGATTGGCAGGAAATGGTGAGGAAAAATTCCTGGCTTTCCCTGGCAGATTTTCTGTTTTTTAGGATTTTGTAGTCCAAAACATCTTTCAGTGTGTACCTCATGAGAACAATTCCTGCAGCTTTTCCATTTCTGTAGAAAACACAAAAATGTTTTTCATAGAAAATAATTTTTTTAATTTAAAGCAGTTGTGTGAAGTTTTTGACTGCTTCACCTATTCATCAGTGTGTGCAAAATGCAGCTCTGCAGGTGTCACTAAAGATCACTGGAAATGATTAAAGGGGTGAAATGGTCAGTGGATTTTTTTTTGTTTGGTTGGGTTTTTAACCCAGCCAATACTGTATATTAATAATACTGTGAGGAAAAATTCCTGGTTTTCCCTGGCAGATTTTCTGGTTTTTAGGATTTTGTAATCCAAAACATCTTTCAGTGTCTACCTCATGAGAACAATTCCTGCAGCTTTTCTATTTCTGTAGAAAACACAAAATGTTCTTTGTAGAAAATAATTTTTAAAATTTAAAGCAGTTGTGTGAAGTTTCTGACTGCTTCTCCTATTCAGAGTATTCATCAGTGTGTGCAAAATGCAGCTGTGCAGTTATCACTAAAGATCGCTGGAAATGATTAAAGGAGTGCAATGGTCAGTGGATTTTTTTTTTGTTTGGAGTTTTTTAACCCAGCCAATACTGTATATTAATACTGTAGATATTAGGAGGCTCTGATCAGAGTGCTGAAAGTTGCTGAAGGGATTAATGCTGGGAGTTCTGGAGTGATGGGAGAGAAACTTCAGTTTGATCAGAACATTTTTGGCTGGAGAACTTACCAGGAAAGGGGAAAGGGGCAAGAGCAGGGTTTGAGGCCAGGTTGGATGGGGCTTGGAGCAGCCTGTTCTGGTGGAAGGTGTGTGTGCCCAGGGCAGGGTGAGGAGCTGGCTGAGCTCTGGAATGCCCTGCAGCCCTGCTGGTTGTGTGTTTGCAGTGGCCAAGTGTGAGTACTTCAACGCCGGGGGCAGCGTGAAGGACCGCATCAGCCTCAGGATGGTGGAGGATGCTGAGAGAGCTGGGATCCTGAAACCTGGGGACACCATCATTGAGCCAACCTCTGGGAACACGGGTAGGGCATGGAGAGGCTGGGGAAAGTGTGGGGGAAAGGCTGTGGTGGTTTTCCGGGAAGAGGCAGGTTTGACATCACAGCCTGTGCAGGGAGGGAAGGGAATTTCTTTCTGCCTGCCTGGTGCAGGGAGCTGTGCCTCTTCACCTCACACCAGGAACAATTCTGAACTGTCCTCTGCTGACCAGAGCAGGTGGGAAGGAGTTCTGCTGAACTGCAGAGCCTCTTTGATTTAAAGAAAGGAAGTGCTAGGCCAGACTCATAAGAGTTCTCAGGAATTCAATTCTGACTGAAATTATTGTGGAATAAAGCACCCATAGGGCTGGTGTTGATGCCTTGTGAAGGCTGCCCTAGAACAGAGACCAGACAGAGCTAAAGAATGAAGCAGGGATTTATGAAAAGGCCTCCATGGATGCATCTTGGGCAGCACAAGAGCCCAGCCAGGGCTGCACCCAAGATGAACCAAAATGGCCCCAAAATGCACGGCTGGGCACGGGGTCTCTCCCTTGGATCAGTTCTGCTCCATTTGCACCTTGCAGTTCATTGTCCCATTCCAGCTTTAGCCCAGGCAGTCCCACCCTGCTTGTTTTTCTCTCTCCAGCCCACGGTGTTTGTGCTCTTGGGCTGAGGTTTGGATCATTTGTCCTTGGTGCCCAGCTGGAGCAGGAATTGTTTTGTCTCCCTGCTCTGTGCACAAAGCTCACCATCACCTCATATGAGGCTCAGACCCACACACTAAAGCAGAACAGAATCTGAAACATATAAAAGCTAAAACCAGAGTGAATCTGGATCTTCCCCTTCTTTCAGTTCTTCCAGGAAACTGGGAAGTCACATCTGTTGGCTCAGGAGCTGCTCTGGGGCCATTCAGGGGATTCTGGGGCATTCAGGGGATTCTGGGGCCATTCAGGGGATTCTGGGCCATTCAGGGCAGCTGAAGCCTTGGTGAGTGTGGCTGTAGCTCCTGCCTGAACCATGGCCTGGATTGGAAAATATCTTTGTGTGTTGCATTCCTCCATTATCCAAGGTCTTGCCATGACATCCCTCTCTCTGGGTCAGTAGCTAATAAATGATTCTACTTGCCACAGAATCCAGAAAGGCAGAACTGAAGGAGATACAGGGCAATTACTTCAGAAAGCTGATTTTTTTTTTTTTTTGTCACATAAGAGCAAAGAGCAGGGCACACAGTAACCTGAGAGAATTGGTTTTTGCTGTCTACTGCTCAGAGTTACTGGGTGTGTTGAATGTGAGAGCTAATGTGTTATATTTTTATCCTCTCTGCATCCCAGTTCTCCCTCAGCCAAAGTCCTGTTTTGATGTTTTGCTGCATTTCCAGGTCAGTAGCAGAAAGTATTAGAGTTCAGGTCTCAAAATTCTTTCTTCATCACAGACCATTAGGAAGATCTGGATGACTTCTCTTCAGCCTTTGGCTTTAATGAAGTTGCTTCTGCCTTATTTATTTGTGTATTTGGGCATCCATATTTATCTATAATATACTGAGAAAACTTTCCCTTCCCAAACACCACTTGAGGTGTTTGAGGTGTGGGTTATGCTTCTCTTACAGGAACAATTAAAGATGATTAAGGTGGGGATTTTTGCTCCCACACAAAACCAGAGGCAGCTTTGAACCAGCAGGTCTCTGTGTAGGGTGAGCTCCATGTGCTGGTGCCCAGAGGAGCAGGGGAGCTGCAGCCTGACCTTCACACCTCTGAGCCAGCCTGATCAGCTCAGCCTGTCCAGCAGGGAGGTGACCTGATAGCAGGTGTGAGCCTCTCTCCCACAGGCACAGCACAGAAAGGTGATCTGATAGCAGGTGTGATCTCTCAGCAGAGATGTGATCTGATAGCAGGTGTGAGCCTCTCTTCCACAGGGACAGCTCTGCTGAGCTCAGCCCTCAGGTGAGCAGGCAGGAGTCAGATATGGAGGTGGAGATGTTCAGAGTAGAAATGAGATGTCTGTCTCCAGCAGCCAAGGTGCTTTACTGTGGGACCAAGCTGACACAATGTATTAGAACCTCAATCACCATCTAAAGTATGGTGATTGAGGTTCTAATACACTGTGTGTTATACACAGTATTTTTAGACAGGGCTTAGTTTCAGCACTTTGCAAATAGGGATTTATGCAGCAGTGAGTCAATAGAGGCTCTGCAGACCTTTTGGCAGAATCAAAGTGATTCTTCTCATCTCCTCCGGCTTAAAGCACATTCCTTTCCCAAATTACATCTGGAAAAATGAAGTGGGTGAGACAGGAGGAAGGTGATGTGCATGTTGCAAAGCCAGCAGTTTGCACAAGCCAAGTTCCCCCACCCTTGGCTAAACTTTCTCTGGGCTGTGAACCTCAAACAAGGATCGGCACCTGTAAACCCCACAGGCAGAGACATCCCCTTTGCCACCCCTCTGGTGGAAATGATGGAAGGCAGGGCGTGCCAGAGCTGTCCCTGTGTGTTCTGTGCCCTGCTGCTGCTCACTGAGTGCTCTGTGTGCCTTTGCTGTTGCAGGGATCGGGCTGGCCCTGGCGGCGGCAGTGAAGGGTTACCGCTGCATCATCGTCATGCCAGAGAAAATGAGCATGGAGAAGGTCAGAGCTGCCTCTGCTTGCAAGAATTTAAACATAAACATGTCTGCACTCACAGAGCTCCTGCTGCAGATCAGTGCTGGGGCTTCAGCAATGAAGGTGCAGGATCTGCTGAGCTGCTGTTCCCAGTGCCCGGAGAAATCCAGGCTGGCTGGCCATGGATAGAAAACGAAATCCAGGCTGGCTGGCCATGGATAGAAAATGTCTTTAGGACCCATCCCCACACCACTGCCACTTTGAAAACTCCCACAATTGTTTTAAATGCAGACAGCCTGAGGTTTGCCTGGCACATTGAAGTGGTTACCTGTGCCCCAGGTGAGCTGTCCCTCACTCAGCAGAGGGTGGAAGACAGTGCTGGAGCTTTGAATATCCTGCAGATATTCTGACCTTGGGAAGGTGAAGGGGCCTGTTGAGGGTGTTTTGGGGTTTTGTGACCACCTTTATTTGCTGCAGGTGGATGTCCTGAGAGCTCTGGGTGCTGAGATTGTGAGGACCCCAACTACAGCCAGATTTGATTCTCCTGAATCTCACGTGGGAGTGGCCTGGAGGCTGAAGAATGAAATCCCCAACGCACACATCCTGGACCAGGTGAGAGCCAGGGTGTCAGAGGTGCAGGTGTAGCATGGAGGAGGCTCTGGGGTGTTCTGGGTTGTCTGTTCAACACTCTCCATGTGTCTCTGAAGGAGAAGATGTCCCAAATCTGGAGGTGGAGCTGAGCAGTCAGCACGTTGTAGGAAAGGAAGTTTTTGCAGTCACTAGAGAGCAGCAATGAGCTGGTGTTTGCCACAGCCACAGCACTTAGAGTGTCTGTTTCCAGTGAGCTGGCAATCCTGTGAGGAAGAATGGACACAGGGGTCACATTGCTAGGAGTGCTGTCCCACAGACAGGACTGATTTTGGCATGGGAGGTGCTGGCACCTTAGGACTGCGCTTAAATTAGGTCACTTAGGAAGCCTAGTTCCAGATAATACACAATGAAACCTTCTGCAGAGAGCATGGTTAGGTGTTGTGGGGTTTGGGGATTGTTTGAAATGTTTTTGAACGTGCTCAAAATGTGATTTTTGTACTTTTGATCTGCCTTTGAATTCAGTACCGCAATGCCAGCAACCCCCTGACCCACTACGACACCACAGCTGAGGAGATCCTGCAGCAGTGTGATGGTAGGTCTGCTCTACTGCTAACCCTCCCAAGAGCCCCTGGCAGTGCCCTGCTCTTATGTGCCTGGAGAATGAGCCCTCAGATGAGAAAAACATGGATTTTGATAGAGCAAACCCCATACATATGCTGTGTGTCATTAGAGAGTTACCTTTTTTCAGTGGTTGTGGTGTTTTCTGGGACCCCTGAGGAAGGAAGGAAGGAATGATGAATCTGACTCCATGTTCTTGAAGGCTAATTTATTACTTTATGATCTATATTATATCATAATAATTATATTATATTAATTATATTAAATAATATTATATTAATTATAGAATATTATATTATAGAATATTATAGAATGTATTATAATATATTCTTTAATATATTATATATTAATATATGTATGTATATATATATGTATATAATATATATACATGTATATTATATTAAAGAATACTAAACTATACTAAACTATACTAAAGAATACAGAAAGGTTACAGACAGAAGGCTAAAAAGATAATAATGAAAACCTGTGACTCTCTTTCCAGAGCCCTGACACAGCTTGGCCCCAACTGGCCATTAAGTCAAAACAATTCACAGCAGAATCCAATGAAACAATGTCTAGACACATTCCAAAGCAGCAAAACACAGGAGAAGCAATCAGATAATTATTGTTTTCATTTTTCTGAGAGGCTTCTCAGCTTCCCAGGAGAAAAATCCTGGGCAAAGGGATTTTTCAGAAAATATGACAGTGATAAGTGGTCATAGTAATGATTTTTTTTCCCATTAAAGAAGAATTCTTTATATTTTAGACTTTTCTGCCTATGAGCAGGTGGAGAAAGCAGTGGTGTTTAAGTTACCTTAAACCACCCTCCCCCCATAGGTAGACTGGTATGGAATAGGGTCAGTCTTTGATCAAAAATACAGAAATAGGTGTTTTAGCATTCCCAGAGCAAATACTCCAATACACTGGAAGCAGGTTCACTTAGGAGTGCAGCTGTGTGCTCCTTAGTGTGCTCCTCATGAGCACAGGCTGCTCTGTGCCACAGCTGTCCCCAGCAGCACCCTCAGGCTCTCAGGGCTCTCTCCAGCCCCAGAGGGGGCTGAGCTGAGGCAGCAGAGCTTCAGCTGGGCTCGTTCTCAGCTCAGGAGCTGCTTTGGGAGCTGTTGGAGACATTCCCTGTGATGCTGCAGCACGTGGGCATTTCCATAGGGCACAGAAGGGAGTCCTAGGAAGGCTCCAGACATGCCTTAATAGACAGTGCAGCTTCTGATTGGACCTTCTGATAAGAAAATCAGCAATTAAATTCATTCACATAAAGGTGAGGACCATGTGGAAGGTTCTCCTCTGGCTGTTTATAGGATTTGCCTTGTCCTTCTGTGACAAACTTGGAGTTAAACTGATGACACTTTTACAAGCTGCCATCCCACAAACTGAGGGTCCAGATGAGTTCCACATTTAGGCTTCTTGTTTCTCTTTACTTCCCCTTACAGCCCAGACACTGTTCAGTTACCCCTGCTTGGTGGGGTGTTATTCTTTTGGCTGCTAAGCAATTGATTTTGTGTGTGGTGACCTTTTAAAAACCCTTTTTCTTTTTAAATTAACAAAGCTGTCATGTGGGTGCACCAGAGAAGCTGTAGGTGGTGACACAGGGATGAACTATCATATCTACACTCCCTCTGAGTGCTAGTGACCAAAACAGCCTTTCTCACATGAAAATGAGGGAGTTGTTGTGTTAACACTTCTCTCCAGAGCTGCCTGTCCCACGCTCTTGGCACTCACCCAGTTAATTAACAAACATAATGGGCTGCTCAGTTTGACTCAGAGAATGAGTTATGTGTATCAGCAGATACAGGAACAGGAAAACTGCAGCTGTCAGCTCTGTGGGCCACATCCACCTGTGTCCAAAGGGCCACAGATTGGTGCCTTGCCAGGCCTCTGGGTGGGCATTTCAAAACCCTTGCTGGAGAAAATGATGATTGAGCAATGCAGTTTCAAGGCAAAGAGTCCTATCCTGCCCTTTTCGGCCACTTTGTGCATTTTTTGTTGAGGAAAGTCCATCCTTAGGTGGGTGTGAGCTTTCAATTCATCCTTCTGCTGGAGATTTCACACTTCTCTCCCACACCCTTAAACAGGAAAGGTGGACATGGTGGTGGCCACGGCTGGCACAGGAGGGACCATCACTGGCATCTCCAGGAAGCTGAAGGAGAAGTGTCCAGGCTGCAAAGTAAGTGAGAACCCCACTGCTTTTACCTTTAGTGTCTCCTCAAACTGCTCCCCTTGGCACATCCCACTCCTTGTAGGGCTCTCTGTGGGAAGCTCTTGGGTGTTCTCAGTTAAAAGGTTGTTCTGGCTGCAGAGAGGGTTTCAGAGTGTCTGAAATCATCATGCTCTGGTTCCATTGGTGACCAGAGCTCAGGTTTGGCTCAGCAGATGAACACTGACACTCAGATCACTCATGGGGTGCCTGGGAAACTTCCTTCTGCCTGTGAAACTTCCTTCTCTGGAAGTTTCTTCTTCTTCTGCTGTGCTCTGCAACCTTGGGTTTCCTCCCTGGCTGTGCCTTCCCTGGAGCTGTGGAGCTGCTGAGGTTTTGCCCAGTGGAATTCTCTCTGCACACACCAGCCTGTGTGTTTTCCTGTGTGATGTGTGGGATTTCCTCACAGAATTTGAGATCCCTCTTCAATCTCCAATTTTCCTATGCAGGCAGGGAGTGGTAAAGAAAATAAAACTGATCTGCTTGCACTAGGCACAAAATGAGTTGTCTGTGATGATGCCTGGCATGTGGATGAGGACAACCTTGTCTCAGGGAAAGCCTGGCTTCTGTTTTCTGTTTAAACCAAGCAAAACCCATGTGTGGAACAAGTGGTGCCAGCAGCCTGAGGAGGTGGGATGGGTTTCCAAGGGGGCCAGGAGCAGCAAAACCTTTGAATATTGCCAGGAGGAAATGAAGAGCAGAGCAGGTTGGCTGTGTGCCACCAGCAGCTGTGACAAGGCCAGTGTTCTCCAAAGCTATGTGTCTTGGTGGCCTGAGTGGAAATCTTCTCCAGATTATAGGTGTGGATCCTGAAGGCTCCATCCTTGCTGAACCAGAAGAACTGAACAAGACTGACAAGACAATGTATGAAGTGGAAGGAATTGGCTATGATTTTGTCCCCACAGTGTTGGATAGATCTGTAAGTCACATTGCTGGGTTTACTGCCCTTTGCCCTCTGCTGGGATGCAGGATTGAGGTTAAAGGCAGAGGAAAACTTGGGGGAGGATTTCTTTGAGCTGAAAAGTCAGGGCTAGCAGGCAGAACTATTCCTGTTCTTTCCATCAGCATAAACAGCCCTTGAAAGGCTTCTGGCCACATTAGTTTTACAATTCTAGGTCAAAATGCTGTGAGTAGATAACATTTTCCTATAACACACACTTACTTTTATGCTTAAAAAAATCCAAAACATACTCAAAAAACCAGTCATGAAACACACACAATAAAAATAAAACTGTTGAGTTTGTGAGGGTCCCCAGTACAAGGTGAGAGATGAGGAATTGAAAATCTTGACTCCATGTTTTCAGAAGGCAGATTTATTATTTTATGGTATTATATTACATTAAAGAATGCTATACTAAAACTATACTACAGAAAGAGAAGGATACAGACAGAAGGTTTAACAAGAATGATAATAAAAACTTGTGACTGACTCCTCAGAGTTTGACACAACTGATGGTGATTGCTCATGAAGTAAAAACAATTGACATGAAACCAATCAAACAGTCACCTGTTGGTAAATAATGTTCAAACTACATTCCAAAGCAGCAAACACAGGAGAAGCAATCAGATAATTTTTATTATTTACATTTTTCTCTGAGGCTTCTCATCTTCCCAGGAGAAGAAATCCCGGTGAAGGGGTTTTTCAGAAAATATGACAGTGACACAAAGCAGACACACATCAAAGAACACCAATCACAAAAAACCCACAAAGCAACAAAACCAAACCTTCCAGCAGAGCATTCCAGCCCCTGCTGGACAAAGGGGTTAGGACTGTCCTGGGCAGAGCCTGTGTCCCTGGGATGCCTTCCAGGAGGGGAGGAAGCTGATGCTGTCTGAGGCTGCTCTCACAGAAGGGTTCCAGTAAGGAGTCTTTTGTGCTGATGTGTTCATCTTACCTTGGCAAAAATCCCCACCTGGCATTTGGAAGAGGATGGAAACCCGGGGCTTAGCTGTTCCCTCAAAGAGCCAGGGCTGAATCCACACTGCTTCTGCAGTTCCCCTGTCCCTCCCCAGTTAAACAGAGCCTTGTTTCTGTCTCCTGCCCCTGCCCAGACAGTGGACCAGTGGTACAAGAGCAATGATGAGGAGTCCTTTGCCCTGGCCCGGATGATGATCCGCGAGGAGGGGCTGCTGTGTGGTAAGAGCAGGCAGGAGCCCCCTGCCCTCCTCTGATGCACATCAGAGACCTCCTTCCACTCCACATCTTGTCCTCCTCGCTCTGGGCTCCTCTGATCTGTGTGCTCCTCCCCTCTGATGGCTCCCATGCGAGGTTTGATGGTTTTGCCCCTGCTGTGTGTTCTGCAGGGGGCAGCTCGGGCAGTGCCATGTCTGTGGCTGTGAAGGCAGCCAAGGAGCTGAAGGAGGGCCAGCGCTGTGTTGTTATCTGCCCTGACTCCATCAGGAACTACATGTAAGGACCTGCTGCTCTTCTTCTCTGGGGGAGGGGTGAGGGAGTCCCTCAGACCTTGGAACACCCGGTTATCCCAGCAAGGAATGTCTTTGGGGCACAAGTTCTGAGCTGTCTAAAAGGGGTCTGGCACATGGAGCAGGGAGGGCCTTTTTACCTTTAAATCTGATTTCAGTAGATAATCATCACTGGTTAGCATTTCTCACAGCGAAGGCCTTGCTTTCACTGTGTTATTTTTGGGGATCACTGGTTATCCCAATCCTGGAAGGGTTCCTGTGCCCTTGAGCTGGGTTCCTGCCCTGAGCAGGATCCAGCAGTCCTGCAGCAGCAGCAGCCCCACTCAGGGTGAGTTTGCACGTGGAAATGTCAGGGCTTTAAGCTGTGTTGAGAAATTTTTCTCCAATCACATTGAAACATACCCCAAAACATGGCATTTTTAGCTGAGTTTCCTCACCCATGTTACAACCAGCTCAATATTAGACAGACAGAAGTTGCAGACAAGACACATCCCCATTCCAGGCTGTGTCTCTGTGATATTGCAAGGGGCTGATGCAGTTGGAGCTTTGTTTCCCGTGGGATTCCTTTTTTTCCCCATGAGTATTTCTTCTCCGTGTCCCTGCCACCCAAGCTTGGATGGCCAATGATGTCCAATTTCCAATTCCACTTTATCTGTTGGTGGCAGTGAGCTGTGAACAGCTGTCTCTGTTTGCTGTCAGATGTTCAAGCCCTGCTAATGAGCTTTTCACCTCCTGGTGCTCTGCAGGTCCAAGTTCCTGAGTGACAAATGGATGATTCAGAAAGGGTTCATGAAAGAAGAAGACCTTGGCAACAAACCCTGGTAAGCCAATCACATCCATCTGGATTTCCATCAGTCTATTCAATAGAGTTCATGGCAGCTGCTAATTTAAAGCTCATTTCAATTTACACTTCTCCTTTGATTTAGCTGATCTTCCATGCTATTGTCTTGTGCAGCTATTAATCAAATTTGCTTTAATTAGTTGACATCCTTCCTTGAGTTGTTTGGCAGCAGCAGAAAATTTGGTATTAATGATAGGGGTTTTTTTAATGAAAAGTGTTATATATGGAATTAAAAAAAAAGGAAATATGCAAAGAATCCTTCCAAAATCAGAGTTCTTGAGTGCAAAGCACTGCAGGTCTACATAGCTAGAAGGGAATCTTCCCTAAATTGTTGCCTATAATGACTGTAAATGCAGATAGGTCTTTGAGTAGGAGTGCAAAATTTTCTGTGTGAGAGATAATTAATGAAATTGGGGAGATCAGTGCTCTCCACTGACTATCTGTAATCATAGAAAGCAGATGAAATGAGGAAAAGGGTTTGATTTTCAAGCCATCTCACACTTCAGAGACTTTCTGATGCTGGGAATAACACCTGAGGGCCCTGAAGCTTTATTGACTCTGGCTGAATCCTGACTCTCCCTGCAGCCTTTTGTCTTTCCTGTGCTGCTGGAGGCCACTGTGCACCAAGGGCTGGATCTGTGTTCTCCATAAAACTTGCATGGGATTGTTTTTCCCTCCATCCCCAGGTGGTGGAACATCAGCATTCAGGAGCTGAGCCTCTCTGCCCCCCTGACTGTGCTTCCAACTGTTACCTGTGCCAAGACTGTGGAAATCCTCCGGGAGAAGGGATTCGACCAGGTACCAGTTGTTGATGAATCTGGGTATGTGCACATCTATCACTCTTCATCCATTTCTACCACTCCCCTCAGCAGGTCCTCAGGGATGTCTTTTAAACGCTTGCTGGAAATAAAATGTCTTCTCACCCATCCTTTTTCATTTATTAACACAGTTCAGAAATGTTGCCTTGAACACGCCAGTGCTGGACTTTGTGTTTTCATGCCAGGATTGTCCTGCCCTTCACAAGATTCTAATGATCATATCATATGTCATATCATATCATATCATATCATATATCATATCATATCTTACATTACATTATATTATATTATATTATATTACATTACATTACATTACATTACATTACATTACATTACATTACATTATATTATATTATATTATATTATATTATGCTGTACTAAAACTATACTAAAGAAAGAGAAGGATACAGACAGAAGGTTTAACAAGAATGAGTAATAAAAACTCGTGACTGACTCCTCAGAGTGGTTGGTCATGGTGATTGGTCATTAAGTAAAAACAATTCACAGGAATTGTTTTTACTTGCTCATTGTGTCTCTGCAGGATAATTTAATTTCTTTTAATAGTACCAATTTAACTTAAAGAAAGCAAAAATTCCTGTTTAAAACAACCAACCCCAAATGTGTCCATGTCTATCAGAGCTTTCTTCAGCACACTGTGTTACAGTGCAGGGCTGCAGTGACCCCCATAAACCAGGGTTTTCCAGCAAGCTGGAATGTTCCTTATCATCCTCAGCCCTCCTGCAAACAGGCTGAGTATTGAGGAGTTGCTCAATTGTGCTGACCTGAAGGATGAATTCTTGTAGATCCTCACAGGGAGAAGGGAAATGACCCCAACTGGGGTGAGCTTGTCTCTGGCTGTCACACCTTTCAAAAGCACAGATGGGAGTGTGAAAAAATGAAGTGGTTTGTGCTTTCCAAAAGCTCTCTGAGATTGCAGACAGCTCTCTCCAGCTGCAAGGAGCAGAGATGAAAAGGTCCTGGTGCTCAGAAGGACCTGCAGCACCTGCTGCCTTGTGTGTGAGTCTCCAGCACCTCTGAGAGCTGCGCTCTGTCTCCTGCTGACACACACAATCCAAGTGTGCCATCAATAATGCTGCATTATTACCATGAAATAGCTGAACTGACTCCTCCAGGCTGGCTGGGAGTGGGTGCTTTTTTCTACAGGAGCACCTGAGGCTTTTGTGTTGTTTATCCCTGTCTTGTCTCTCCTTCCCCAGGGTGATCCTGGGCATGGTTACCCTGGGTAACATGCTTTCCTCACTGCTGGCTGGAAAAGTTAAGCCTTCTGATGAAGTCAGAAAAGTCATCTACAAGCAATTTCAACAGGTAGGCAGGCGTACTGTGCAGCTCCTGGTTGCAATACTAGAGTAGGTGTGCTGACACTGCACAGGCTGGGTGAGGTTCACCTGGGGCCAAGCCAGCACCTGTTACTGAGCACAGAATTTCCTTTTAAAACCATGGAATGCTTGACTTAGTTTCCACCAGGATTTAAGTTCCAGCACTGTCCCAAAGCGGACTGAGGGCTGTGTTCTGGAAGTGTGTTTAATGCTTCTCTTCAACCTGTGAGCCACTTGAGGCTGCTGGTTCTTTATGGACAAATGTGAATTTATTTTTTCCTCCCCAGACAGATAATCCAGCATCATGGGGACCTGTGGTGGGTAACACAACTGCCTGGCTCATGTTCTGCCTTCCTTGGACACCTCAGGAGTTTCTGGGGCTGGTGGTGTGGGGTGGTGTCTGCGGCTGCTCTGGTGCTGGCTGCATCAGCCAGTTCTCTGCACTTCTGAGGTTGTGGCTCTTGCCATGGACAGCTCAAATGCTTCTTTAGCAAAGAACAGCTTAACCACTTATTTTCCCTTTATTTCTGGTATTTTCTTGGTGGAGGCTGGAAAGGGAGTGACACAAGCTGTGGTACTGCTGACTGTTAACTAAAATGGTTATTTTCCACTTGAATTGATGGGTTAATGGGGAAACATGGTGGAGTGCACATAACCTCAGAAGTATTGTGGGTTTTGCTTCTCTTGCCACTTTAGTCAAGCTTATTTGGTTTATTTATGGGTGAAACTGGGAAAATGAATCTTCTGTGTCACCAAAATCACTTCTGGTATCCTACATGGCTGCATCAAATGAGAGGCTTAGCCTGCAAACCAGGGAAAAAGTACATTTTGGAAAGATGGGTTTTTTGGCTTTTTTAGGTTGCTCAGAGAGGTTGAGGATTTCCCATCCCTGTTCCAGACCAGGCTGGATGGGGCTCTGAGCACCTGAGATAGTGGAAGGTGTCCCTGCCCCTGGCAGAGGAGATGGATGATCCCAAAGGTCCCTTCCACCCCAAACCGTTCTGTGATTTTACAACATGGGCAGCCTGCTTTGGTAGGATCACCTCAATTAATTTATGATAATTCTTAGAATGGAAGCAGAATGGTTAGAGCTTTTTTGAAAGTCCCTGGTACAATTTCAAATCTGGGGATTTGAAACACCAGTCACAGGATAATTTTCCAACCCAAACAAGTGCTAGTGGAGGGAGGAGCCATCCTTGTGGAGTCAGATGTTAGTTCCAGTGGTTTGGCTTCCCAGTCATGTGTAGTATAGTACTCACTGCCTAGAGACCTAGTAAGCTTGAAAACAAAGCCTAAATGTGGAAAAACCTATGGGCAAAATGTTTAAGAAGATTGAACAAGCAGGTGAAAACTCTGTAGGGGTTCTGGTAAATTTCCACTGATCATTTTTATGCCTTCATGGTTGTCCCAGTGCTGCCAAGGGGCTGCTTGTCCTGGTTCTCTGTAGCCTGCCAAGTCCCTGAAGACAGATTTGGGACTGATGGGTGACTCCCTGTGGCAGATTTCCCACCTCCTTCCTTTCCTGGCCCCCAGGTTTAAATATTGGTTCCTATAGCAGGCCTCTTAAACACAGGCTGCTGGGAATCCCCTGACTCCCAGTATGGAGACAGAGCTCTTGCTCCAGTGCAGCCAAACTTTTCATGCTGTGGCATTCATTTAACACAGAGAGGCTTTTTTGAACCTGCAGTGCAAAACTCTTCTTTGCTGTGAGTTCCTTTAATAAAAGGATGTCAGATGGTGGGTGCTGGGGAGAGTCACCTGGAGCTGCTGCTTCATCTCTTAAGTCATGTTGGAACAGTTTTAGGCACTTTTTAAAATTATTGCAGCAGGAGATTGCTGAAGTGTTTTGGAAATATCTGCGTTTTTTCAGAGTTGACACAGGATGGTTTCTTGTTCAGTCTTAGCAAAGTTGAGCTTCACAAAGAAAATGAATTATTACATCTCAGTTCCTTGATTTGTACCCGAGTCCTGTGTTAGCTGAGCAATCTTTCACCCTTGGTTTTGGTTTTGGCTTGTTTGGGCTTTTCTGCCTTTGCAGATCATATTTACTTCCACAATGATTGGCAGCCTGATTCATTCACTTTTTCAATTTTTTAGGATAAAATCACCAAATATAAAGACTTTTATGGTCACTTCTTTTGTTGAGACACATGGAACACTTAACCTTCTTTGATTGCTAGCATTTTTCAGATCTTCATTCTATTCATTATGTTTACAGAACCAGAAGGAATAACTTCATGTAGTGCTTTGTGCTTTTTGGAAAACAGAAACAAAGAAAAGTGATCTTTAAAGTTGGCCTTGATTTATTGGTGTTCTCTAGTGCTTCAGGTGGGAGCAGAGCACAAATGTTGATGTGTTGGTTTTAGTTCTGTACAAAGTGTGTGGGGATTATTGACTGGTAAACATAGAAAACACTGTTTTATTCAAATTCTGTAACTCTTTCCTCAGATTAACCTGAAAGACAACTTGGGGAAACTCTCTCACATCCTGGAAATAGACCATTTTGCTCTGGTGGTTCATGAGCAAATTCAATGTGAGTACAAAGTGCTGCACCTTGAGAGAGCAAATCTTTGAGTGGCAACAAGGAGCAAGTGAGAGTGTGAATGTAGAAAGTGAGTTCTGATGTAGCAAAATGCTAATTTTGTATGTAAATTTGTGCTACTGAGCCTAATTTCCATCCCTGGAGGTGTTCAAGGCCAGGCTGGATGGAGCTTGGAGCAACCTGGGAGAGTGGAAGGTGCCCCTGCCTGTGGCAGGAGTGGAACAAGATGATTTTAAGGTCCCTTCCAACCCAAACCATGCTGGGATTAGTAAGACTAAATAAATCTTCAAATTTCAGGAATATCACTCTTATATGTGACTAATATTTTGTCCTGTTTAATCTTCCTAATAGCAGACAACTTTGCAAAGTTACAAACACTGAGAAATGAGACTCAAGCCAATACTAAGTTGTGTCAGATAAATTTAACTTTAGGTTTTCAATTGTAACTGGAAAAAGAAAAGCCATCAAATTTGGGGTTTTTCTTGATAATATCCATAAGGATGTGCTCTTGGCTCTGAGCTGACCATTTATAAACCTGGAGTCTCACTGGAAGCTTGCAGTGAAACAGAGATTGAGTGCAAAAAAGCCCAGGACAGTCCAGCTGACTGAAAAACACTGAGAATAGAAGTAGATTCAACATCTCAGTACAGGCAGACTTTAGGAACTGGAATTTAGACAATTGATAAAGGGCCAGAGGTCGTGTGGCCACTTGGTTCCCAAGTCAAGTCCCAAGATAATGAGAAAGTCACTTGAGCCTGTGCTCTCAATGCAGCAAAGATTAAATGGTTAGTACATTTTTTGGATATAAATGGGATATTGTAGGTTTTATACTGATTCTGTGGTTGACAGGGATGCAGGAAGAAGGCTGTGTCACATTTCCTCCTCAAAATGTGGTTTCACTGGGCCATGCAAGTGGCCCCTGGTTCCAATGGGGTAATGCCACTTGCAGCTGTTTCAAGTAATTAATGTTTGAGGAAAATACACTTGTGTCAAGAGCAATAAATCCACTGGATCCTTATCCTTCCTTCCATAAAGCTCCAGTGTCCCTTTTGCTGAGGAGCCTTTCTGAGCTGAAAATCCTTGTCACTGCTCTGTGACTCTTGGCCAAAGGTGCCTTTGGTGTTCCGCCTCTGTGCCAGGATCACCCAACACCTCCAGGATGATGGAGCTGGGATGGCTCAGGCCCCCATTTCACAAACACTAAAACCAAGCAGGAGGGGATGTGTTTGTGCCTCCTGGAGCCAGAATTCCCTTTTTTCTCCCTGCAGATCACACGGATGGCTCCTCCAGCAAGCGGCAGATGGTGTTTGGCATCGTGACAGCCATCGACCTCCTGAACTTCGTCACCGCACGCGAGAGGGAGAGGAAATCCAACTAAAGCCAGCAGCAGCCTGGAGCCTGCTCAGCATCCTGCAGCCTCAAACAAAGAATCAGGGTCATGTCTTAACTAGAATGGTTTTTTTCCTTTTATTTTTTCTCCTTTTTTTTTTTAATTCTGAAAATAAGTAGTTTGCCGTCCTGCTGTCAGCTCTCCAGCCAATATGTCTTGCTGTATTGCCCAGCTTCTGGGATCTTGTTTCTTAATCAGGCTAAGCAATATTTCTTATCAAGACAATTTATTTTTTTACCTCTATATATATATATGTGTATGTGTAAAAAATGTTGCCTAAATTAAGTGGTTTGTTCCTTACTCGTTGTGTCTAAAGGCTGGCTTTCCAAAATATTGTTTCAGAATCATAAAATGTGTTGAAATAAAGAGTTATTGAAGCAGAGGTCCAAGAGAGCTCTGGAAAGTTCTGGGTTTACCCCCCCCCCCCCCACCCACCCCATATTTAAGGGTGTTAAGTTAGATATTATTATTTGTTTTGAGACAAAACTGGGACTGGGGCATGGGCAGAGAGACAAAACTGGGACTGGGGCATGGGCAGAAGGAAGGAAGGTTTCCCTTTTGGTGGCATCACTGTAAAGCAAGAAAATCCTCAGGGCTGAAGCTGAGACTTCCTCCAAGCATCTGCTCTGAGGAAAATCTGGTTTGAGTAGAATCATGGCAGTGAAGTGGCAAAAATCAGCCAGTGACTCTGTTTTACACAGTGTATCAGCTTTCCCTGCCACAGGCCTGGTTTTTTTTCCTGTTGTTTTTTCCTGATAAGTAAGCACAAGTAAGGAAAGATTTAAAAGGTGAGATCAAGCATCTTGCTTGAAGATTTTTTAAAATCATGCTGTTTCATCTGTTACCTTCCTCTCCCTCCCCATTTATCTCAGAGTGCCTTTTCTGTGCCTGTTTCAGGAGAGCCAAAGATAATCTCTGAGGAGCTGTGAGCTCTTCCAAGTCTTTTTCAGGTGCTCCTACCCTGTAGTGCCTCATTCCAGGAGAAAAGCCCTGCATTGGCTACCCCCTCAGATTAGGGCTATTGCTGAAGGCAAGTGACCCATCCTTACCTTAAACTGTGCCTTGCCATTAAATTCATACACTTCTTTAAGATTTAAGGCAACTTTTCCCAAGGCTCTGGGGAAAAAATTACTATAAATCTAAAAATGTACAACTTCAACAGTAATTGAAAGTTTCTAAAGGATAATGAATTTCTTTCTGCCATTGCAGTTATCACTGCTGCTAGATTTTGGCATTACTTTAAATATTTACTTTACTGGCTTTTATCTGATTTTTTTCCCCTATTTTCCATCTGACCTTTGCTGACAGCAGCAGGGAGGGAGGTGCTTGAGTAGCTGAGGTTTGTCCTTTTCCCTTGTCAAACCTGACCTGACTGAATTCAGCAAGAAATATGAAAATGGTAGCAGGAGGTTCCCAAAGCTGCTTTTCAGAGCAGCACAAGAGGGGAGTTAAAGGTAGAGCAGCAAATTAGTCAATTATAAAGAAATATAAAGATTTGAATCTGTTTTTCTGATTCACTGTTCAATCCCTGTAGTGCCATGGAAACTGGCAGTATTGTGGAGTGAGGCACAGGGGATGGCTAGAAATGGTGGGGAACAGGGAATGGGAGTGTAAACCATCCCAAATAAGCCAAAGAATCCAGAGAAATTCACCTTCTCCCCTGGGGTTTGCTAAGAGCAGGAGCTGTCTCCTCTGCACTGGCACAGGGAGGAGAAGGCTTTTCTTATTCCCAGAGGAACTGGGTAAATAAATGGAATTGCTGCACAACTGAAAAACTTTCCAGAGCTCTTTCCCATGGCAGGGGTGAAGGCAGCAAAGGCAAGGGGACAGGGAATCCAGCAGGGCTGAAGTTCTCTGCAAAAGTTTGTGAATGTGATGCTTTTTTGCATGTCTGAGAACCTCATTGCTGGCCTGGTCCTGGTTAGTTGTGGTAGGGCTGATTAAAACTGGGCTTATCTTTGTTTCAAGTGCTCTGAAGACCAAGAAAGACACTGCAGTTTGTTCAGTCTTTTACCTGAAATTGAAGGCCAGAGTCTGAACAGAAACATATTTTTTGTTCCTGAAGTGAGTGCCTGCATCTTCTATTTACCTTTGCTGCTTTTGCAAGCACTGACTAAACCTGAAAACTATTTTGCACATGGATATTTTTATCAACAATTGATACTGTATTTGTTTGTCACTGTGAGAGATTATCAGTCCTAAAGTTGGCTCTCCAAAAATACTTATTTTCTCACCTGAAGACAGCTGTTCAGTAAAATCTGTACAATATTTTGCAAGCAGTTACCAGGAAATGACTTAATGTTCATTTTCACGTTGTCATGTCCAATGTTATTTCCCATTTCTTGTACAAGCTGGGGCTGACTCCAGAACTCTGGCTAGCAGGGGTTCCTCTGAGCAGCCAGACCAATCTCATCTGCCCACCAAGCCCATTTCTGAAAATTTGTTTGCTATAAATCTACACTGTCAGAAGTTTCCTGACATTGCCCCTGTCATCCAACAGCTTTCCTTACTGTGCACTGTCAACTGAGGGAAAGGGAAGACTCCTTATGCTTCAAGGAGCTGGGAAAAATCACCACTATGAGCTGTATTTATTGCACAGATGTTCACCATACAAAGAGTTCAATAAAAACTGTTTGATTGCAGAATGGCTCTGGGTTGTTTTTTTAATGCCAGTTCAAGCTTGTAAGTGTGCTGAGACTGTAAGATTTTTTTAATGCCAATTCAAGCTTGTAAGTGTGTTAAGACTGTAAGGTTGTTGTGAGATTGTTTTTTAATGCCAGTTCAAGCTTGTAAGTGTGTTAAGGCTGTAAGATTGTGTTTTTAACGCCAGTTCAAACTTGTGTTTATACTGTAAGGTTGTTGTAAGATTGTTTTTTTAATGGCAATTCAAGCTTGTAGGTTGTAGACTGTAAGATTGTTTTTTTTAATGCCAGTTCAAGCTTGTGTATTAGACTGTAAGACTGTTTTTTTTTTAATGCCTGTTCAAGCTTGTAGGTGTGTTAGGCTGTAAGAAATTTGTGCAGAAGACCCCAGGCTGTCAGTGTGAGGCTCTGCAGTTCTTTCCATGTCTCCAGGCTGCCAGGATGAGCTCCCTGCTCTCATGCTGGGTGTTCAGGTGCCTCCCCACACACACAGTGCTCTGTGCTCATCACCTCTTCCTCTCCTTACCCCAGTCCAGCAGCATGGGCTGACTCCATCCTGCACATCCTTCTCATGTGGTACCTGAAATACTGCTATTGCTGGCAGATCTCTGCTTTTCCTTTTGGCAGCCCCCTCAGAGGGTGTCATGAATGGGTTTCATGATGGTTTGTGGATTTGATCTCAGGGTTCAAAAAACCAACACGGCACAGGGGGTTTGCAGTGATAATCAAAACAAATGCACCTTTATTGAATGACCTCAGCAAAATGTGATAGAGGGATTAGGGGACAGAAGAAGATAGAGAAAGAGAGAGAAAAGAGAAAGAGAGAGAGAGAGAAAGAGGGGGATATAGCTACCAAATGTAGAGTGGCAAAGTCCTTCAATGTCTGTGACCGTGTTCACAGGGGTCTTAGGATGAGGGAAGAGACGAGGATCTGACTCCATGTTTCAGAAGGCTGATTTATTATTTTATGATATATATTACATTAAAGCTATACTAAAAGAATAGAAGAAAGGATTTCATCAGAAGGCTAGCTAAGAATAGAAAAAGAAAGAATGAATAATAAAGGCTTGTGGCTTGGACACTGTCCGAGCCATCTGACTGTGATTGGCCATTAATTAAAAACAACTGCATGAGACCAATCACAGATGCACCTGTTGCATTCCACAGCAGCAGACAACCATTGTTTACATTTTGTTCCTGAAGCCTCTCAGCTTCTCAGGAAGAAAAATCCTAAAGAAAAGATTTTTCATAAAAGATGTCTGTGACAGATGTCCAGCCAATGGAGCTCACCAGGTCACGTCCAGGGAGATCTCGAAATCTCTAGCTAACTCCAGAGGTTTTTATTATCATGACTGTATTGGAAATTGTGAGGAGGGGGAAACAGATACAATAAAGAATAGATGTAACAGGTAGCCCATGTTCTCAGCAGTGAGAGCCGTTGTTTTCATGGTCCAGTGGTCACACCTGCAGGCAAACATCTCGCTTTGGTCAGCTTGCCTCCCCACAAACCTCCCCCGGGCTGAGGGTTTCAGTCCCACTCCTTGGAAGGAGGAGAGAGGCCTTTTCACATGGGGGTTCCATGTCTCCGTCCTTGATGGAGAGGCTTCTTACATCTCAGTCTGTCTGTCACGGTGGTTGCAAATGAGTGAGAGGAGTCTTCTGTGGGGGGACCACCCAAAAATTCAGAAGTCCAGCCAGGCCTAGAGGTGGGGAAAAATTCCAGAGCTATTGTTGCAAAAGGTCAGAATGTCCTTCTTTCTTCTTGTTGAGCTCAGTGTAACATATAGTAAATACACCGGTGAAAACAATAGCTTAGCAATGCCCTCAGGCCTCAGGGCCTTGTTAGCATGTGTAACTTTCTCCTTCAGAGCCAGAGATTTTAGAAGGGAGGGTCTTTTCTTCAGTGGTCCCCCAATGAGGATCGTGAGGCATGACCATGTTCACAAGGGTCTTAGGATGAGGGAAGAGACGAGGATCTGACTTCATGTTTCAGAAGGCTGATTTATTATTTTATGATATATATTATATTAAAACTATACTAAAAGAATAGAAGAAAGGATTTCATCAGAAGGCTAGCTAAGAATAGAAAAAAGAAAGAATGAATAACAAAGGCTTGTGGCTTGGACACTCTGTCCGAGCCAGCTCACTGTGATTAGCCATTAATTAGAAACAACCAACATAAGCTATCAAAGATCTACCTGTTGCATTCCACAGCAGCAGATAACTATTTTGTTCGTGAAGATTCTCAGCTTCTCAAGAGGAAAAATCTTAAAGATTTTTCATAAAAGATGTCTGTGACAGTGAGGCAGATGAGAGATATTTCAGACAGACTCTCTCAGAGGGGGAAAGGGGATCCTGCAGTCCCAGCCTGGGGCAGCAGGCCAGCATCCCTCCTGTGTGTGGGGAGCCCATTTCAGCAAAAGGCCAAAGGCTGCCCAGGCACACAGAGAGCTGCAGGAAGTGTGAGGGATCAAGTTCCACCTCGCAGCAGATTCAGAAATCCCTGGGGAGCCACAGCAGGCTCTGCTTGCAGCCCTGAGGGCTCAGGGCCCCTCAGCAGCCCCCAGGCCGGAGCAGGGAGCAGGGCACTGCCCAAACCCCGTTTTTGCAACAAGAGCTGCTGACAGGTGAGTCACAGCCTGGTGACAGCCCTGGGACCCAGCTGTCCCCCAGCCCCTCCTCCTGGGTCACCAGCAGGAAAATTACTGGGTACAATCAGCTGTGCTGGCTCTGCAGATAAAGGGAGGACTTCAGTCCAGGAAGGC